AAAATACAGAAAATGCAGTTTTAATAGAAGCATCACCACCAAATTTCAAATTTGAATCTGAAATACGGGAAAACAAAAAGGGAGGAGGCTTAGCTGCCATTTTTAGAGACCACTTTGTGTCCCATAGAATGTCTCTTGGGAAGTTTCCGTCTTTTGAATATGTGTCTTCTAAAATACAACAAAAACAATCTCCTCCAGTACTCTTCATTGTCCTATACAAGCCACCACAGTCATGTCACAGTTTTATTGATAATTTTACCGAGTTGCTTTCAGTTGTATGCACAGATTTTGATAGTTTAGTCATTACAGGTGATTTTAATATTCATGTGGATAATGTTAATGACAGAAATGCAAAAGAGCTGAGTTCTTTACTTGATACCTTTGGTCTCACTCAGCACGTGAGTGGCCCCACCCACAGCAGAGGGCACACTCTAGACCTGTTAGTTACAAAGGGGGTGAATATTTCAAATGTAAACGTGGTCAATGTTGCGCTTTCGGATCATTTTTGTATATTTGTATATTGTTTCACTAACAAACCACCAGTGGACTCTGCAACTGTTCGAAGAAGACACATAAATGAAAATACGAGTGAACTATTTATGGGAATGATAAACTTTGAAAATGCATCGTATTCTACTGTACATGAACTGTTTAACTCTGTCACCTCTAGTGTTTTGAATGTTCTGGACACCATCGCTCCTGTGAAGGTTAAAATAGTGAAAAATAAGCAGATGGCGCCGTGGGCTAAAGCAGACTCGGTCAGGGCACAAAAGAGAAAGTGCCGGAGGGCCGAGCGGAAGTGGCGCAAGTCCAACCTCCAGGTTGATTACAAGATATTCAAGGATAAGTTGTGCGAGTTTAACTGGGTGCTACGTAGTACGAAAGAAAGGTATTTTTCTGAAATGATTGAAGGCTGCAGTAACAACCTGCGTGTTCTGTTTTCAACAGTTAATAGATTAACAAACCCCCCTGTTCAGATGCCATTAGAGCTTACTTCCAAACGTAAATGCAATGAGTTTGCACACTTTTTCAATGACAAGGTTCAAGGCATCAAAAACGCCATTGTCTCCAATCCACAGATAACAAACCAACAGCCAGAAAGGCTCTTTGAGCTAACTCACTTTGCACCTGTAGATGATAAAAATGTCCAAGAGATAATCTCCAGTTTGAGCTCCTCCACATGCAGCCTGGATGTACTACCCACTAGATTTCTGAAGTCTGTTCTGAGCAGTTTGTTACCTTCACTCACACAGATAGTAAACATGTCCCTTCATTCTGGAATTTTCCCAAAGGCCCTGAAAACGGCAGTCATCAGGCCCCTGCTAAAAAAGAGCAGTCTGAATGCTACGGTACTTAACAACTATCGTCCCATCTCAAATCTGCCATTTATGGGGAAAGTCCTTGAAAAAGTTGTCTACCTACAGCTTACTAGATATCTTATAATCAACAACTCATTTGATATGTTTCAGTCCGGCTTTAGACCCCACCACAGCACTGAGACTGCTCTCGTCAAGGTTACAAACGATATCCGGCTGAACACTGACGCAGGCCAAGTCTCAATCTTAATCTTGTTAGATCTAAGTGCTGCTTTTGACACCGTCGACTATGAGATCCTCTTACAGAGACTAGAGGACTGGGTTGGCGTCGCTGGCACCGCCCTAAGTTGGTTTAGGTCTTACCTTGAAGACAGGAAGTACTTTGTGGAGATTGGAAACTGTTTCTCAGATCATATGGCCCTGACCTGTGGAGTCCCACAGGGGTCGATCCTGGGACCTCTTCTGTTCAATCTCTACATGCTGCCGTTAGGTCAGTTAATACGCAGAAACGAAGTGTCCTATCACAACTATGCAGACGACACTCAGATCTATGTCTCACTGACTGCAGGAAGACATGGACCAGTGGACTCACTCCGTCACTGTATCCAACAGATCAGTGAGTGGATGCAAAACTTCCTTCAGCTAAACGCAGGCAAAACTTGAGACAAAACTGAAATGATTGTCTTTGGTCCCCAGAAACAAAGAGAGAGCGTCATCTGTCATCTACAGTCTCTCTCCCTAAAACCTTCAAACAAGGTCAGAAATCTAGGGGTAATACTGGACTCAGACTTAAATGTTAATAGCCACATCAAATCAGTAACATCAGCAGCTTTTTACCATCTAAAAAACGTTGCCAGGATCAAAAACATAGTGTCTAAAGCAGACTTGGAGATTCTTATCCATGCATTTGTCTCCAGTAGGTTAGACTACTGCAATGGCCTGCTCACAGGTCTGTCCAAACAGGCTGTAAAACAGCTGCAGTACATTCAAAATGCAGCAGCTCCAGTCCTGACTAGAACCAGGAAGTACGACCACATTAGTCCAGTCTTCAGGTCTCTGCACTGGCTTCCTGTGGCTCAGAGAATAGACTTTAAAACAGCTCTGCTTGTGTACAAATCTCTCCATGTCCTCGCATAAAAATATATTAGTGACATGTTAGTCCCATATGAACCAGCCCGGACTCTGAGGAGCACAGGGACTGGACTCCTGTTAGTGCCCAGAGTCAGAACTAAACATGGGGAGGCTGCTTTTCAGATTCATGCTGCTAAAATCTGGAACAGTCTTCCTGAAGATGTGAGACAGGCCTCCTCTCTGACAATGTTTAAAACCAGGTTAAAAACGGTTCTGTTTAGCTGTGCATACAACTGAGGGATTTTATATTTTTATCTTTCTTTTTAATGTTCTGTGATTATTTATGATTTTAATGCTTTCTTGTTTTGTTCAGCACTTTGAGTTGTTGAGATTTCCCGAGAAACCGAACAATGCTAACGTGGCTGTAGCTAGCTTTACACTATCAAAGCTGCAGTACTTGTGTATTTCATAAACAACACGACTTTTGTCCAACAGAAAGCGTCTTGTTTTTTCATATATCGCGCCACAACATGCTTGTTCTAGGAAATGCAGAGAAACTAACCAGAAACAAAGACAAGAATCTGACTTTTGACACTGAAGTTACCGAAAGACGTCTGTGCTCTGCCACAATGTGACATCCGCATGTTCCAAAGAACGATAGTTTATAGTGAACACCAACTATTGGAAATCCACTAATGTCAAACCCAGACACACATTTCAAATATATTTATTGTTTCAATCATAATTGCACATGATTTTAGTTAATAATAAATCATGTGCAATGCTGCAACTTCAGAATGTCACTGAACAATGGCTCTTTACTTTATCTTTTTATTATCCTGCCCTATATGTACAGTATATAACTCTGCACTACTACACATATATATATATATATATATTTGGACTGGTATTAAAGCATTTACAGCTAGTTAAGAAAAATAGCCACTACTTATTCTGTATATTTTGTGTGCTCCCTGTGTACTCTTACTACTGTCCTATATGTGCGCTGCAACATCGAAATTTCCTCACTGTAGCAAAAATAAATACAAACTCTTATCTTATGCAGTGGAATTTTTTTACATTGGAATCTGAACCCAAATTTGGAGATAGCAACAACCTAGCAACCAAACAGCCAATCAGGTCAGTGAGGGCTCATATTTGATTTTACAAAGTCAATATTTTTATGGTCCTACAAGTATCATGCAATTGTGATACAGATTTGAGATCCAGGATGACTGTGGGAAAAGCTGGCGTGTTGTTTGGATCAGTGTCTGCATATTTTTGTTCTGTATGTCTTATTTTTATGACCTTAGTTGCCAGTCCCAGTTTGTTTACTGTAGTCCCATGTCTTTTTGAAGCAGTCTTTGACACTTTCACGCACAACAAAAATCAACACTTGAGAACTTACCCAGTTTTTTCCGGTTTTGCCCGATTCCACCTGCAGGTGGATCACTGACAGACAGGAAGCAGCGAATGCGTCTAGGGAAGAATGTCTCAAACTCTAGAATTCTAAATACTGGAGCTGTGTTCTTTCTCCCCTGCTCTTCTCCCTCTACACCAACCACTGCACCTCCAGCCAAAACTCCATAAAGCTAATCAAGTTCGCGGACACCACCCTCATTGGTCTCATATCCGACAACGATGAGTCCGCCTACAGGAGGGAGGTGGACCGGCTGGTGTCCTGGTGCAGTGGTAACAACCTGGAGCTGAACGCCCAGAAGACAGTGGAGATGATTGTGGACTTCAAGAAGAGCTCTGTCCCCCCCGTCTCCCTGATCCCCCATCACCTCTGTGGAGTCATTTAGTTTCCTGGACACCACCATCACCCGGGACCTCAAGTGGGAGCCGACCATCAGCTCCCTCATCAAAAAGGCCCAGCAGAGGATGTAACTTCCTGCAGCAGCTCAGGAAAGCCAAGCTGCCTGCACAGATGTTGGTGCAGTTCTACACGGCCATCACCCTGTCCATCCTCACCTCCTCCATCACTGTGTGCTTTCAAGAGTACTTCTACAACTATTGCTACTGCTCCTACATCTACTAGTTGTCTCTTCAAGTTATAAATAAATCTGTATATTTCACATATTTGCAGTAAATCTTTTATTTATTGCTTGTACAGGTTAAAAATCACCAAAGTCACCAAAGTCTTTCCACCACTGCTCACACAATACTGGCAATAAGACCAAAAGAAAAAAAGTGAAGTCCAATGTCCAAATTCAAATGTATCCCGCCGTCTTCCTGAATCAACAAAATGATGATGCCACTGCTCCAATTCCCAGTGCTAAAAGAGAATATCCTGTTCGCTTCATGTAAGCTAGTTCTGTCATGCTAACATGCTAACTGGGTGGCACAATCGTTTCTGGTTACTATCTTTTTGATAGTAACCAGAATTGTTAGCGTTCGGGGGTTTTCTCAGCCTGCGTTGCCGTAGTTAGCGACAAATGTTTTCCCATTTCTAAGTTTATTGTGTGTCTGGGCTTAAACAGATAGTTAACATCTGTCATGCTAACTTGCTAACTTTCTCAGCCTGCGTTGCCCTATTTAGCCACCAATGTTTGCAGACGTGTAGGTTTTTATTCTCATTCCGCACTGATTGCTGAAACAAAGTTTTTCTTCTTACTTCCCCAGTTTGGGGCCCACAATCCCGCAGCCTTTACCCGAATCCACCGCCTTCACGATCTGACCCTGTTCATTGAAGACCGAAATCTTACTGACCGGTGCGCTACGGTTATTAGCTACCGTTTATATCTTTGTTAGCACGTTGACTTCTTTAGATTTAGCGTTTTGCCTTTTGGCTGTGTTAATCTCTTGCTGTAATGCCTCCTTATTGCTCTTTTCGCGCTTGTAGTAGTTGTAGTAGCTGACGCATTCTGACTGCAACACTTTGATTTTTTCCTCCAGTTGTACAATCTTTTTCTTGGACCAGTACAGCGCCTTAAAAGGCTCGTTCAATTTTGGCTCCGGCTTCGAGTCCGGCTTCTCGTTTACGCGTTCGGCTTCATCCGTCTTGACCTGGGTCTGCGGTTTAACAACGCGCTCTTTGCACAGCCCGCTCTGCACCATGCTCTTGACCGCGTGGTACATCTTGTGTTTGTCCGATATATGTCTGCGATATTTCTTGTAATGGTTTATATTGATCGTGAGTTTCTTCACCGTTAAACCCTGCCGCTGCTCATTATTGTTCATTTCCAACCGCAGAAGCTTAATCTTGTGTTGAAGCTCGGCCGCCTCGGCCATGGCCTCTGTGTGCACGGTTTTCAGAGAGTCCAACTGTTTTTTCAGCTGGTGGATCTCGTCCTGCGCACCGTTGTATTCCACTTGCACCCCGTAAAGCTCGGCCTCTAACTTACCGATGACGAGCTGTGAAACGTTGCGGTTATCTTCTATGAGCGAGTTCATGGTCTTCCCCTCAGTGCGCAGGCTCTGCTCCTGCACCTGCATGTGCGACACGTGCCTCTCCAGCGAGTTTATCTGCGTGTGCGCCTTCCGCAGCTCGTCCGTCTTGGCTCTGATCTCGGCTTTCTGCTTTACGCTCTGGTCTTTCAGATCGCGGTTTCCCTGCTTCAAGGCCTCAATGTGGCTCTCCTGCTTGGAACACTTTACCTCGTAAAAAACGTATTTGTTGTTGAGCTTGGAGATCTGCCCTTTCTGCTCTCGTTCCACGGCCTGCAGGCGCTTCACCTCCGCGCACACGGCTATGTAGTCAAGGTCGCGCATCTGGATGATTCGCTCGTGCTCGCAGATGGTGGTGTTTAGTGTCCTCTTCAGGTCCTCCACTTTCTCCACCTGCTTCTTGAAGGACTCCAGGTGCAGCTTCATGTTCTGGAGGTCGTTCTCCAGCTTCTCGTTGTTCTGCTGCAGAAGCGTGTTCTCGTTGTACCTCCTCATCATGGAGTTTAGCAGCGTGCACTGGTTTCTCTCTGCTTCTTCAATCCCCTTCGTTAACATATTCACTTTCACCTGGTTTTCTCTATACTTCTCATTCACCTTTTCCAGCTCCTTCAGAGCGGCCTGAAGCTGGTCCGATTTCTTCCTGTCCTTTAACTGGACGTTGGTAAGCGACTGCTCCAGAAGAGGGATCTTTTCCACTTTGTCCCTGAGCTGTTTGTCAACGGCTCGCATATGCATCACGTCGGACTGCGCCCTCGCCACGTCGTTCTGAAATTTTTTGTTCTGATCCGCCATTTTGCTCAATTCTTCTTTGAAATATTTGCACTGACCGTGCGTGGTCTTGCAACGATGTTGCAAGTCGGCCTTTTCCAGAGCAAGCTTCTTGTTCTCCTCGGACAGTTTCACGTATTTCCGATGGTAGCGCTCGACTTTCTCATTGGATGTTTTGAAGTCGAGTTCTGTTTTCTCACATTTTTTACGGAGGCTTTCATGATTGACGAATAGCGGAGGCTTTCATGATCGACTTTGAAATCTGCTAGCTCGGCAATCAGCGCCTCCTTCTCCTCCTGAAGCATTCTTTCACGAGCTGACTTCATTGGCTCGAAAGTCACCTTCTTACTCTGCATTTTGCAATAAATAAAAACCAAACTCGTAACTCTCTCTGCCTCTCCCTGCACCAACAAGCATTCTATGGGAGACAAAGTGGTCTCTAAAAATGGCAGCTAAGCCTCCTCCTTTTTTGTTTTCCCGTATTTCAGATTCAAACTTGAAATTTGGTGGTGATGCTCTATTAAAACTGCATTTTCTGAATTTTGGTCAAGCCAAGTTTCAGCCATGAACATAAGATCAAGATTATGAGAACAAATAAAATGATTGATTAAAAAAGACTTGTTACAAAGAGATCTGACATTAAGCGTAGCAAGTTTCAAAGTTTCAGTATCAGCGGTTGCGGTCGGCTGATTCTTACACGGAACAAGAATTAGATTTTCCAGATTAGACTGATTAACTCCAGATGTTTTTCTGTAATGTATTCTTTGTGTTATCACTAAGGGAATGGCACAGGTGGCTTCATGACAGGGCCCCAGCCGGGTCTCTCCTCTAACTAGACTGCCAGTGGCTGCGAAGCAGAGACCCTGTGCATCCTAGTTTTTAGATAAAAAAGAGGGGAAGGGGAAGGCAGGGGAGGAGGATGGAGAGGTGGGTGGCTTTTGGGTGTTGAACGAGGGGGGCAGGGAGGTGGAGGGGTTTTAGGTGATGGGTTAGGGCCGGGGTGGGCTGAGGCAGAGGTTTTGGATGTTGAACGAGGGGGAAGTGGGGGTGGAATGGTCATGAGGTTAGGGGAGGGACTGGCTGAGGTGGTTTTTGTAGGTGAATTGGAAACCCTAGGTGGTTTTGGAGGTACATATGGGGAGTGGTTTAGCATGTTGGACAGGACTCTAGATCGAGCTAATATGGGTGTGAGAGGAATAGTCTTCATCGCCGATTTTATTAGCCCTGCAGAGTGTTCAGGTAGGTCTAACAGTGAAGGCGGGGATGAAAAACAAAGGGAGGTGTATATGAAACTATAATGGATGTACAATAGCATATACATGGGAATTTTTTTCAGTAGGGACAAAAATTAAATGTAAATAAATCAAGATTTAGAGCCTTATCTTGATAATTGAGGGACATTAGAATCCCACCGTTTACAGGCTAGCTAAAAGACTAATGTAGCGATTTCTGTCAGCAAAACTAGTAGTGTCCCATTGGGACAAACCGAACAATGTTAACGTGGCCAACTGTAGCTAGCTTTACACTATCAAAGCTGCAGGACTTTTGTACTTCTTAAACACGTCTTTTGTCCAACAGAAAGTGTCTTATAAAAGTTTTTTTTCTAAATAAATTGCCCCACAACACGCTTGTTCTAGGAAATACAGATATTTTTGAGACTATTATGGAAGTTTTATTGTTTCAATGATATTTGTGTGTGCATAAAATCATTTATGTGTGCGTATCCAGATTTGTGTACATATTTTGCTTGTGTAAATAGATTTGTGTGTGCGTAAAAAAAAAACAAAATTGTACGTTTAACAGTCTTTTTGCACACAGATCTTTTGACACAGTATTGCCTTCGCAGATTCACAAGTGTAACTTGGACTGTGTGTGTGTGTGTACCCAGATTTGTGTGTGTGTAATTTGACATTTGTATCCGTAACAGAACAATCTGTATGTAAATAACGTTGTAAGAAAAGAAGAACGGAAAAAAGCCTAATTGCTACGCACAGGCTCTTGTATTACACACATTTTTCCCAAAAGTTTAGTGTGTGTGCATATCCAGATTTGTGTGTGTCTTTTTACACACTCACAAATCTGGATACACACGCACAAATAATTTTACACACATATTTTACGCACACACAAATCTGGTTACAAACGCACAAATCTTATTGAAACAATCATAGCTCCATAGCCTAGTATCTGACTTTTCACCTGTAAATGACCAGGAAAGACGTGTCAGCTGTGCTCCGCCACAATGTAAAACTATCGTTCTTTGGAGCATGCTGACACAAACTATTAGAAATCCTCTAATTTGAAATAAATATATTTATTGTTTCCATCATAATCGTCATTTGGACACATAGCTCCACCAGACATCTGCCAAAAGGAAAAAAAAAACAGCAATAAACTGTCCAAAAGCACAGTCGCATCACGTCGTGCATAAATCTCCTGTCTTAAAAATAAAATAAAAAATATATATTAAAAAATTATGCGTACCACTGATATACAGATCATATAAACAGGTGCGTTGGTCACAAACCAATCTGAATTAGAAATGGCTTCTCGTACAAGACACAACATCAGATCTATACTTTTCTTTAAAAAACAAAAGAGGGTACAATTTGTCTTTTTACATCTGTACAGACCATTTCTTAAAATTCTCGCAACTATTATTTTCATACAGTCGAAACACAAACACACGGCAGAGACCGCTTCAAAAACAGATGACCTTTTAACTTATCCTGGAATCTGAACCCAAATTTAGAGATTGCAACAACCTAGCAACCAAACAGCCAATCAGGTCAGTGAGGGCTCATATTTGATTTTACAAAGTCAATATTTTTATGGTCCTACAAGTATCATGCAATTGTGATACAGATTTGAGATCCAGGATGACTGTGGGAAAAGCTGGCGTGTTGTTTGGACCAGTGTCTGCATATTTTTGTTCTGTATGTCTTATTTTTATGACCTTAGCTGCTAGTCCCAGTTTGTTTACTGTAGTCCCATGTCTTTTTGAAGCAGTCTTTGACACTTTCACGCACAACAAAAATCAACACTTGAGAACTTAACCAAACAGTTTTTTCATGGCAATCTTCAGAGTCAGGCAATTTTACGGTGAAATTAACACTATACATTCAAATATCCGTATTTTACCAGGACAGTATTGTAAGAAAAGGCGAGATTTCACCAAAAATAAGTGTTTTGCTGTTGGATTCCAAAGTCAACAACACAATTGTACTAAAAGAAATACAACATGACATGTGCAAAAGGAAAGTGGAGGAATATAGAGATTCGCCAGTGCCAACAGAGGGCGCCATTCTCTGCGTTTAAAATCTCAATCGAGTTTTGTGAATGTGAGAAAGTGATGCATAGTTTAAAAAAAAAAAAATGAGCGTTTTGTCTTTTGGAGTGGTTTTAGTACATTAGTGGAGAGACATTGGGGCTGGGCAAGCTGGAACCGGGTGAATCATTGATAAATATCAAATTAACTAAGTACATACCGGATTAATGAATCTAGTCTAAAAGTGGAACTATAAGTGGCACCAATTTACTGTATAACTTCAGAGTTGGACCTAGTTCCTCTCTGTTCTCCATCTTCCATTATTGCTCGGCATCAGAATACAATTTTAGAGTAGCTGTATTTGGAAGATATTACTTTTTCTTTTGGTAGTATAAGAATACTATATCCATCAACAGCAGTCCGAGCAGAGACGCCCAGACTTCCCTCTCTACCCACAATTCCTGCCACTCACACTTCTTAACAGCTTTATGAGAACATTGATATAATAGTAGTTGCAAGTAGTTGTAGTTTGCCCAGCCCTGCGTCACAAAGGCAGTGGTTTGAACAGTCTAGAGTTTTTAGTTTATTCAAAACCGGGTTCTTTTTGGACGAAAGCATCAAGCAGCCAGAGTAATGTGGCCAATCAGCTTCCAGTGTCCAGTGAGACGGACGTGTGGAAGATCGCTCGGTCAGCAGATTGGGAAATTAACTTTATATACACATACATATATGCATTTTATTATTACTATTGTTAGCTTTTTAGAGTAATGGAATTTGTTTTGTTTGTATAGATGGATGTGTGTTTTTGCTGCTACTGGACACATGAATTTCTCCTACAGGGATCAATAAAGTATATCTATATAAAAGCAATAGAGAGGATTTTTAAAAACTGCAAGAGAAAGAGAAATTAATGAATGAATCATTAAAACAATATAATTTTTTTGTAACTCAACATATTTTCAGATCCTGTCATAATTTTTAGGTTTTGATGAAATTCATATAGTTTCTTTTTGTCTTTGCCTCAATAAAAATGTGAATTGAGTTTCGAAATCCGCAATATGTGAAGCGATCTTCCACGTACAAAAAGGCAAAGTTACTGGTTTGTTTAGCGGTGAAGGCAAGAACTGTTGCCGGGCTGTTGCCGGGCAGAATGGTGAAAAGGCAGTCATTGATTGAAACAAAAAAAAAACATTAAACATCTTTCTTTGTTACTGTGTTTGAAATAATAGAAGAAAGGCACAAAGAATGAGAAACAGGAAGACGTGGATGTGTGACAAGAACCGGAGGAGGATCCCAGATGGCCGACCACGTTTAACATTTTTGAGGAGTTTAAAAAGATTACACATTATTCTTTCATTACTGTTCGGTGTGACAGGTAATGGAGACACAATTCTAAAACCAAAACGATGTCTTGAGTGCCTGGCTCTAAAACAGTTTACATTTATCACAGAAAACATGCTATCTTATGTGTAACTGAGAGCCCTGTGAGCCACTGTTTGACTCTGGGCCGATAGCTGATTGGCTGAGTGAGGGTGGTCCTCTCTTTCTCACTTTTATGTCTGAGACCGAGGCCAAGCATACATAAAACCAGTGATAAAAGCAAACTGTGTTAGAGCCAAGAACTTAAGACTTGGGTTTATTACAGAGTTCTAGTATTTGTGGTTTGAAAGTTACGTCCCATGGATTAAAAACTGAGCGTGGTAGTTCCCCTCTGTGAGCTAAAGCCAGCTCTGGTCTCACATCCTTTAAAAGTAAAGTTACAACAGTGATTTGGATTTCTAGGGGAGTGCTCTGGGCCTGTTCAGACATAAGCGTGCATCCAAACGTACCAATCTTCTTTTCCGCACGTCAAACGTCTGTCTGGAACTTGAGCCTCACGTTATGTTCCGGCCGCCCCCTCCTCGTTAGCAGCTATCGACGGTTTGTTTTCCGAGGAGTTTACATTCATGATTTCAGAACGAGAGCGAAAACGAATATTGAGGAGGTTTTCTCGTTTCAAACTGGAAAAGTCCCAGGTCAAAAAGTAAGGTGCAAGAACGTTGAAAATAACAAAATGTCTTCTCTATGGCGGTCTCAGAGACGGGGGAGACAAGGAAGGGAGGGACGAGGGAGACGGGCCTGTCGCAATCAGCTGACTCAAACTGGGGAAACTAAAAACCCATATTGGACATCAGGTTCAAATGTTTTTGACACGTGACGTTTGGACGCGAGTATAATGTGAGCTGTTTGAAACCAGAGAAAGAGACCAGGGAGAGATCAGAGAAAAAGGGACCAGAGTGAGAGGGACCAGAAAAAGAGACCAGATAAAGAGACCAGAGAGAGAGACCAGATAAAGAGACCAGAGAGAGAGACCAGATAAAGAGACCAGAGAGAGAGACCAGATAAAGAGACCAGAGAGAGAGATAAGCTGTTGTTATTGTTTAAATGTTTTTTTTATAATTTGCGCAGTTGTGATTGCGACAGGCCTGACAATGGCTCCTCCTGGTCCAAAGGGGGCGCCACGGAGGCTAATGTACAAAGAAGTGTCGCAGCAGCTCGTCGGCACTCGGCCGCTGTTTGGTCTCCACAAAGATGCGGCGCAGGAACTCGCGGCAGTGATCCGACACGTGCGGCGGCAGCACGGGGTTTGTCGGCTGAGTGGCGATTTTAAAGATGGCCGCCATCGCCTCAAACTCTGCCCACGGGGGACGCTGTGTCAGCATCTCCACCACAGTACAGCCCACACTCCTGTGAAGAAGAGGACAGTGAGACAAGCGGACAGAAACGAGAGAACAGAGACAAAAGGACAGAGAGACACTGTCCTCGAGTCCATAGTCTCTGGTCCGAACACAAACGTCAGGTGGTGCTGGTACCAGATGTCAGCTTTGCGGCCGTAGCCCTCTCCGCTGATGACCTCAGGACTCATCCAGTACGGCGTCCCTGTCACCGACTTCATGCCTGTCCCTGAGAGACAGATGGTCTGGAGGCGGCGACTCGCTCCGAAGTCTCCCAGCTTCACGTTCCCCACAGAGTCTCGCAAAATATTCGCTCCTGAAACCAGAAACGCACTTCACAAACCAGAGACAAAGGACAACCAGAGGAGGACAAGGAGACAGTCCCAGAACCACCCCCTGAGGACAGAGAGACAAAGACAGAGACAAGGGACCACAGAAAAAGACAAGAGCGAGACCAGAGAAAGAGACAAGAGCGAGACCACAGAAAGAGACAAGAGAGAGACCAGAGAGACCTGCGCAGCCAGCCTTGTCATCCGCCTATGTTTGTCATCGGATGTAGGTTTTCTGTGTTTTCCGGTCTGACCTCAGTATGTGTGTGTTGCGAGGTGTGTGTCCCTCACCTTTGATGTCACGGTGCACGATCATGTTGCTATGGAGATAAGACACGCCCTCCAAAGATTCTGGCGCGTGTAATCGGCGCGTCACGTTCTCTGTCAGAGCTCCGTACGCCTTCAGCTGGTCCTTTATCGGACCCCCTGGGACAGAAGAACAGCATCAGGATTGAAGGGTGTGTCAGAGACTGACATTAAAGTGATTAGTCTGGAGTTTGTCAGAAAAATAAAGAGAGGCACATGATTTGAAAACAACAACCCAGCTCCGTCCCCCTTCCTTTCTGATCTTGAAGCCGCGCCTTACATTTCTGGTGCATACGCCTGGTCAAGGGTCTAAGACGTTATGGCCAAGACATGTGGGGAGGAGAGATTATTAATTTAAATATTCACAATCATAATTTATTATACAGCTCCTCACAGCAGCAGTATAACACGCTCCATTGATTTAATCTAATTTCAAAACGTTCACCTGATCATTATTTCTTGATAATGGACCTCTCAAACCAATGCATAGACCACTGTCCCTTTGGCAGCGCACATTGGTGCTTGTACTTCAGGTGTGGTAAAATACTAAGATTACTCCGACAGTAGTTTGTACACTTAGTCACAACGAGCTTTCAGCGCCTGTCACTTACTTCTGTCTGAGCTGGAGGCGAGAGTAGCTATCGGAGCTAGCCTCGCTGCAATAACACCAAATTTAGCAATCTTCACAGTTGAAATGTTATTTCAGAAGAATACTGGTGGAATGATATATATAATATATGATATATATATGGGTGTAGTATCATAGTATATATATACTTATTTATAGTATTCAAGCCCCCGTGAACCTTGCTACACGCTGGTAGTTATCCTGCAGTATCTTCCGAGTGATCATGGGCCTCTTGGCTTACATCTCTGTTCAGTCGCTTCTCCTGGGGTTGAGATGTTAGTGTCGGTAGGTGCACGGCCTGGGCTTGGTTAGATTTGGGGGGCAGTGGTCTGATACTCGGCCAGTGCTTTGTAATCGTGCCTGGGCTCTGTGCGCCTTGAGATGTTTAAATGCATTAGGGATAATCTTATTTGTATCCTAATCCGGCTTTAAACTTCTCGCCACATCAGTAAGTCTCTCGGACCTGCCTGCGTGTGTGCCTTGTCTTCATGGTTCTCTCTGCGCTTTATACAGACTCCCTGAGACTATCAATGAGCAGGTGCATTTATAGCGGAGAACTTGATTACACACAGGTGTATTTCTATTTATCATCATCAGTCATTTTAGGACAACATTGGGGGTCATTCAAAGAGCTCACTGAACTTCTGGACTGAGTTCCTGTGCACTGAAAGTACAGGGGCCGAAAGAATATTGCACGCCCCCCACTTTTTTTATTTGTTTAAAAAAGTTTAAATTATCCAATACATTTTTGTTCCACTTCACGATTGTGTCCCCCACTGTTTTTTGATTCATGACAACATGTTTTATTTCTTTATGTTTGAAGCCCTGAAATGTGGCAAAATGTTGAAAGGTTGAAGGGGGCCAAATACTTTCGCAGGCACTGTATATACACACATTCTTAACACACCTGCACAGAGGTTTTCAAAATTATCTGTTCATGTTTTCATGACAAAAATACTGTTTTAATGAGTCAAAAAGCGATCGGGGTAAACCCGGAAGTAACCATCACTTTAGTAGAACATTTTAGGAACATTTAGGTTACGTTTTTTTATTGGATCACTCAATGCTGATGTTCAGAATTCTTTTTCACTTTTCATTGTAGTTCCAGAGTTCCAGTTAGTTAGCTAGCCTAGCTGTTACCAGTCTAGCCACGTCACGGAAAAACCTTTGGGAACCAACTATTTTATATATATTATTTAAAAGAGATACGCCCCTTGCAACTTCGAATATTAAGGCTGTCATATATAGATTATACATATATATTTAATATTTTAATAATATACAAGCTACGCGCGCCATGATTGACAGCCCGGTGGCATCACTTTGATTGGTTAACGTGGACGGCATTGTGGATTTTGAAGCTGTAAGGTAAGAGAAGGGAAGGCGGGACTTTCCCGTAATATTGGATTAATTCGAAAAATTACTGTATTCGCTATCAACATGGTATGCCTCCAGGAAATCAATTGCTAATACAATTCTTAAAATTTGTTATTCATTTAGATTGTGTGCCAGTAGAATATCACTTTTTAAGCTGGGGATACGCAACATGTTTAGTCTCATGATATAACACCATTCCGGGTTTTGACAGAAAGAGTAATATAGGTAAAATTGTTTCTGCAGCCCAGGGGGGCCAGTGATGCAGGGTGGTTAGCTTCTTGTGCGTCCAGTCATGACAAGTCCGGGGATTTGATTTCTCCTCCAGGTGTCTTTCTGTGTTGAGGTTTGAAAGAACCCTGAGAGTCACCATTTTGGTGTTTTGAGCTGAGAGCTCATTGGCTGAGTGAGGGTGATCCACTCTTTTTCCCCTTTTCTAGTGATAGAAGTAAACCAGGAACTAGAGCTAGGTCCTGGAGAGGGCCAGTGTGGGCAGGTTTTAGTTCTAACCTACTCACTCCAGCCCTTTGACAACCCTGGTCTGTGGTCCTGTTAGGGGACTTCGGACTGAGGCGGGGACACTGGACCCCTGGCATGTACTCCTATGAAGATAGACAGAGTTCGCTCCATCGTGTCCCGCAGACAGCCGTAGTACTGGACGATCCTCTCTGACCCACTGTTGCCCCCAGGTTCTTCAGCAGCTGGATCTCACACTCCAGAGCTCCCACCTCCTGACAGAGGGGGGGAGAGATGTTCAAAGAAGAGTATAGAGAGACCTGGACTGAACGTATGAGTGTATATTACAGTATTATTCACTTATCGGACCTTGCTGGTCTACGGGGCTGTCTGGGCTCGAACTGCAACCTGCTTCAACGGCCAGCTCTCTCCCTGTATCTGCGTCATAGCACAGCTACACCCTCCGAAGGCGCCCCTCTTCGCCCTAGCAGCGTCCCCAGACGCCAGTTGGTGGGAGCACGAGGAGCTGAGAGAGACACACGCACAACACAATCAGGTTGAAGGCTTACAAAAGTCTCTGGACCTGGGGCTAAACAAACCCCTCAGACCTATTGTCATGTGGTCCACTCACAGGCGGCTGGGCGGGCTGATGTCTCCATGACTGACAGGCGTGGGGGCGGAGCTTGGGTTAGGCTCCACGGTTTCACTTCCCTCTGGGCGTCCTGCGGGAAGCACAGTCGTCCGCGTCAGGGCTGAACACACTGCTGCCGCTGCTGGTGCTCGGGGACTGGTCTGTGGGACTGAAGCTGACGGGAGACCTGAAGCCATGAACCTGAGAGCGGCGGGCTGCGCGGGGAACGTCTTACGGCCTGAAGCAGAGATAGCAGCTGTTTGAACTGGTTCTTTTACAACAATAGCCGCCTTTCCACCGCAGGAACTTTGGGGGATTTTCCAGGGCCAGCCCCATCGGTGCGTGTCTCCACTGCAGAAAACTTCCCCCACAGGGCCATTTACAGGAACTTTTTACGGGGCCCAACGGAGTCCCTCCTTCATGCTAGGTCCTCCGTTGGGGCCCTGGTGGGACTTGAGGTTAAACCCGACGCTGATTGGTTAAAGCTAGCGCAGGCTCTGACACCAGCAAAGCACCAAAATAACCGGCATTCAGAAGCATTAGCCTGCAGCAGACACCACGGAAGCCAGCAAACAACTAGCACGGCATTGACTCAGACGGGGTTGAGGCATCGTGGCAAAATGAAAAGACTAAATTAAGACATATCAGCTTCATCACCACTGGGGATTCATCACACTCCAAAACAAGCCGTGAATTAAGTTTTTAAAAACTGAAGGCAGGACTATATAAAAACTCGAAGATCCTACAACAACCGGAGCAGTTCCGACTGTAAAATAAACAAATGGGTTTAGCATGAGTTTCGCTTATGCAGCAATCGAAACTCCATGAACGTCGCCAAGTGGTCCTACTGCAGTGGAGACACGGACACTGAGAGGGACCGAGGGAGAGTGGACCGAGGGAGAGGAAGGTTCCTGTAAAAGTTCCACCCCGCTCCTTTGACCAGGAACTCCCGGCGGTGGAAACGCGGCTAAAATGAATAGAATTTTGGGCCCCAAAATCAACCCTTGTGGAACCCCCACATTGGTGCTTTTTAGTGGGATTGAGGGAGCTGTGTGATACTGGTTCAAAACGGAAGGGAAAGCAGATAAAGCAGGTGTACTCATAATTAGTGGTTTTTTTACCGTGTACCTCTACAACCTGTCCCCTGTGCTGTAATGTATTATATATTTTTTCTCACCTGTATGTTAAATCTACGGAATCTAATTGCGCTGTAGATTGAATCTTTTATGTATGTATCGTAGAAGCTGTTTGTGTACTGGTTATGACGAATATGAGTGAGTTGGAGTAATGGAGCTGTTTGACTGCACGCACCATCGCTGTAGTCTTGTGGGCCGGAATGGATCCCCGTAGCGCCCGCGGGGTATCGGCCCTCCGTCCCGACGGCTCGAACACGGGGATGTCGTACTCTGGCAAGTCTATACGCTCGGGTTATTACCAGGCGTCATCAGGCTATAGTGCACAGCGGGGGCCTTTGGAGAAAACTGTTGCGGATCTTCATAATAACTTTAGCTGGGCCACATTCCAGTGTGTCTGTTACGAGATTAGAGGAGTGACACACGTGTTCTACTGATCAACGAGACAACAGCTTAGGGACTTCAGTACTCAGCCAGCATCTTTAATAACAGGGGTCTCAAACCGTTCCAGAAAGGGCCATGTCGTGCTGGTTTTAACTTACTACAGGTCCATACTGTGCATGAGCTCAGTTGACTCCTCCAGTGCCTCGTGAGGCTTTTGTTGTACCTTGTAGATTTGAGGAAATGCTGGAACTGCTCACCTGGGAATTCATTGTGGTTTGTCTGGGATAGCTCTGGCTTCGGGGCATCCTGACTTGTGGATAACGCTGTGAAGGAATTGAACATTTTAAGACGTTGTTTGTCAAGGTGTCATTTACATCAGTGTGGAGGACCTGGCGAGAGGTCTGTCGAGTAGACGGACAGCTCCCTGACGCCGAGTTCTCTGGACTGCTCATCTGACTTAGGGTACCAACATCTACTACAAAACAAGACTTCTTCAAGATCTGGACCGGACCCGTATTGCTGGGGGTGCGTACTATATTTCAAACCTCTCAACATAGTAATCTTTCACATGGCTTGGCGCGTAATATCAGGTTGCCTGGGGGCACGAGTGTTCACATTCATATTAGGTTGGGCCGGAGAATTGTGTTAGATGATGGACCACCGTCACTCGGCCATTCAGTGTCTAATAGGGGGCTCACTGGGGTTGCATGGTGGCAGGTTCATTTAGTTGTATGCGATAGCAGGCTATAGCAGAGCTTAATGCAGTCTGATAGGAGGATTAACCAGAGAATTTAAAATGCCAGAAGGGTCCAGGCGCTCTGGATGAACGCTCCTTCTCTGATGAATCGTCTGGGAAGGACCGGTCGGGGCCTCGTGCTGCAAGGCAGTCGGGGATGTAGCCTGGAGGCGGCGAGGAGCGGTCGGACTGAGACCCTGAAAGGTCAGAAGTCAGAGAGAGACATAGAGGAACAGTCCAGACTGAGGTCCAACACCAACAACAGCTGCACCCAGTTTACGCTCAAGAAGTTCTCCTGACTCCCAATCCCTCTCCAAGTACTGTCGGGTCCTCTGTCGGGTCCTCTGTCGGGTCCCTCTGTCGGGTCCTCTGTCGGGTCCTCTGTCGGGGTCCTCTGTCGGGTCCTTCTGTCGGGTCCTCCTGTCGGGTCCTCTGTCGGGTCCTCTGTCGGGTCCCTCTCTGAAACCCCTCGGAAACACCTGGGAAACACAAACACTTCTCACTTCTCACCGATCAGAGCGAAGCCTGTGTTGTCCAGTTCCTCATGAGACGGCAGCAGCTCCCTGTTTGACAGAGAACTCTGGACAAACCAGGAGACACACATCAGAAATGAGAGAGAGAACAAAGAGCGAGAGACCAGAGAGTAAAATAACCAGAGAGAGACAAGAGAGACCATGAAACATCCCAGAGAGACACCAGGAGAAAGAGATACCAGAAAGAGCGTGACCAGAGAGAGAGTCTGCTGAGAGTAGACCAGAGAGAGTTCCAGAGCAAGACCAGAGGCGAGAAATACCCGGATGAGCTCACAAAGATTTCTTGGGACTTAAATTAAAAGGTAACAGTTATAGTAGTTACAGAAGTTGTATTTTGAAAATTTTCAAAATAGATTCATAGTGCGACACCCGCACCAAAGTGAACAGATTCTGTCCAGCATCCCCCCGCCCACACTGACTCGGACAGTGGAATCAC